ACACACACACAATGGAGTAGCAATAATAATAATTATTATAGGATAAACATAGAGAGAGCAAAAACACACATTAACATATTAACATTAAGAAACAAAAAAAGAAGAAATTTCCCAACAGGTGAAAGATTAGTTAGACTGTAGGGATGTATGCAAAAAAAAGAAAGAAAGAAAAAAAGGATGACCTGAGTCACACCACCACCACCATTACAATCACAATCAGCACACAAGAATACAGGCCAGTGTAACCACAATCAGTAGTGGTACACGCACCCACACAGAACTGTTGATACTGCTGCTGCTGTCTGCATCACCCTTCTTGTTGTTTGTGAGTTCAGGAGGAAGTGTTGTTGTTGTGGTGGTGGTATCTGTATTATCTACAGCACCTTCTTGGTTACTTGTTGATTCACCCTCTGTAGGTTTAGTGCCATTCGCAGCCGTTGTAGCATCATTCCCAGCAGCAATTTCTCCGTCACTCCCTGTGGTGGAATTGTTTGGTGAAGGAGAAGATGATTGTGCTGCATCACCTCCCTGGATAGTTCCACTCTCTTCTGTTGTACTGCCGCCGCTGTTTCCAGGTTCAGAGTCAGTTGCAGACGCATCCCTCCCCTTCTCAGTAGTAGATTCAGATGGAGGAGATACGGTAGGAGGTGCAGAAGAAGAGCCAGGATCACTACTAGTACGAGTACCAGAACCCTGCTCACTGCCACCTGCACCTAATTCACCTGTAGGACCAGCAGGACCCTGTTCACCTTTTTCACCAGATGGACCAGCACGAGTTACGGGTTCTTCATCATTCGGCTTTTTCGCATCAGCTTGAACACAAGTACCACCAGCTGCAGAATCAGAAGGCGTAGAAGAACAAGAAGTATCAGCAATCTCAGAAGGACAAGTAACTTCATTTCCCTCTCCATCAGGACAAGAAGCTTTACCAGAACCTAGAGAACCGTGTGAACCTTTTGGACCGGCAGTACCAGGAGGAGGAGGAGGAGGAGGAGGAGGACCGGGAGGTGGTGGTGGACCAGGAGGAGAAATACATTTGCCAGGAGTAGGAGGAGAACCAGAATCACAATCCGAAGTACCAGCTTCAAGGTGAGCTTCTTCAGCACTGTTTGCGTCGCCTTCCACACATACGAAGACAACACTCAACAGAAAAACCAGCAAACACACAA